AAGGGGGGGAGGGCGGGGAGAGGTGCAGTGAAGCGACTTGGGGATGCAGTAGTACGACGAGTGAAGGGTGGGTTAGGAGCTGCCCGAGGGGGGAAGGGGGAGCGCATAGTTACGAAGGAAGAAGGTGAGGTGAAAAATCCCCCTCCCCCCTCCCCGCTCTACCTCGCCCCCCTGGAGGACCACCGTGGATCCGCTGTATGCCTGCAGCCTTGCCATGCAAAATGCTATGGCTTCCTTCATTTCTAAATGCTTGCATCTGCCGCTGAAACTGAAATGTGAGGAGAAGGGGCTGCCTTTTTTGGTTCACAAATACGTGTAGAAAGCTAAAATTGAGGATATTTTTTGAAAAATGCATGATTTTTTTTTAATTGAAGGCAGACCGTCTTCACAGTGATTCGAAAATTTTATCAGCGAGGAGAAAGTAACAAACCGGAGAAGTTGGTTTCATCAAATCGGTTTTTGTTCTCCGTTGCTGTTACTAGTGATTTACTACTGTGATGTGTAAATTTTCATGATGTCTTCTTCTGACATGAATTCCTCATTAATTGTTGTAGAAAAACTAAAAATAGTGAATATTCTTGACAAGGAACTTGGAAGGGGATGGGGCCTGAAATCTTCTAAATGTTAACATATGCAGTTTGTTTGGCGTTATTGGCCCATCAGCGTGGAGAGGAACACAATCGAATTTTGACAATTAATAAAAACATTGAAAGTGGCATTTAGGTGTCCCAAATAAACAAGTTGTATGTGCAGTGACTTGAGAGCCTAATTTTTCTCCTCATTAATGTTTGCAACTGCATGTTTCAATATTTTCAAAAATAAAGCACTGGTTTTTGATGTGAAATCTCTGGCGCACGATGGTTGAGAACAGGAGAAAATAGGAAGCACAAGAATTGCTAAACTGAATAGAAAGAGAAATCTTAGTTATTCACTGAAGAACAGCAAAATTGCTAGATTCCGGCGATGAAACAGTAAAGTGTAGAAGCAGTACAGCTTCCAGATCCTGGATTTACCGCGTAAAATTGTATATAAGACTCAATCAAAGGCATATCAGGAGCAAAAATAACGGGGGCAAAGTGCATTTTTACCATGAGCTGAAGCAAAATTTTAAGATAGAGCTCGAGTAGGTGTACATTAACCGTGAGAAGAAATTCAAAAAAGGGTTGCTTTAGCACGGACTACATCGGTATATAAATGAAGGGGTTTTAGTAATGTTTCTGGGAGATTCTAATAGTGAGTGGCTTTCTAGTGAGGGAAACAAATAGCGAAGCAATCTGAACGTAAAGCGAGCTAAAATCAAGTAGGATTTGTACAAGATTAAAAGTGCCACATATATTCATGGGTCGTATAATTACCTTCTGATATCGTCAGCATGTTCTTTGCGTTCGAAAACCTCGTATTTGAAAATTATACGTTTATCATCTCGCGCGAGTACACTTGGGAAGAAAAGAAAAATTAAGCAGAAACAATAACCGGTGTGCTGAAAGACCATAAATCAACCGAAAAAATATATTGTGCGGAATGCGGAAGGTTAAAAGATACAAAAAAAAAATAATTGGCCAACGCACGGGCTGCCCGTGCGAAGATGCGTTTTTTGCAGAGTTCCC